AGGCATATTGTTAAGCTGTAGTGCTTTCAACAGTTTGCTGCTGCAACAATAYCCTGTATTAAGACTCTCTGGGAGAAATTAGGATTTTATGTACCATTGCTTTTTGTTTTCTTGACCGCTCAGCAGAATTTCCCTTTCTTTAATACAGTTTCACTGTTCCACAAAAAAATCCACTTCCTCAAAGGAAAACTTACTTCCTTTCATCTCAACATACATTTTATCTCAAAGCCATTTCCAGGCATGAAGAAAGCAGGATGATGGAGCCATGTGGAACAGTAAATGTTGTCTCACCTGTTTTATTCACAGATGGAACGTGTTACAGAAAATGTGGGTATTTCACTGTTGGCAGGTGTTATACTAGACTCATCTGTTTGAGGGGGACATGACAGGCCTGGAATGCTGATGGGAGTGGATGATGTACACAGGGATCCTGTCCCAGTGGAGAGATTATGATAAATACTAGTGAGAAGGATTGGGAGGAATATTTTTACATTCCAGCCACCTATCCACACCTTGTGTGACCATGAGCCAGTGTTAACTAATGAGCTCCATTTCACCGCAAGGAAAACAGACACACAGAGAAGTTGTGTCACTGTTACCAACCCAGCTTGCTGGAGGAGAGCTGTCACACACTCATTGTTGATTTATTTGCACCAAGCTATGTACAAAGCATTTGTTTCAGCAGAATATTACTTGAAACTTTACTCAGTGCCCATTTCCATATTATGATTTTCCCCCTAGTTGTTTTTTTGCAATGTAAATATTATGCAAAGTGTTTTAAAAAAGGCTGCAGTGAAGGGAAACCCCTTGGTATAGGAGGGAATGTGGGGCACCTGATTGACTTTCTGGAGACCAGCAGAAGTCTCTGCGTTGCCAATGGGTTCACTTACCTGGAGCAGTATTGGAGAAGGAATATGAAGCTGCAGTTAATACTGCATTAATATGTAAGAGCTTTTATCCASTACTCTCTCTGTAGAGCATGTCTTCCCTCTGGATTCACTTCAGATTCTGAAGTCCTGCTCTGCCTTAAATTCTAGTGACCCCTAGCTGAGGAATCCCAGTCCTTCACATCCTGCAGCCAGGAAAAGACATTCCTCAGTGTGTTCTCCTAMCTGGAGCTCAGACTCTACAGAAATCTTGCTGGCARTGGTGTGTTCAGAATTGTGGGCAYTGGGACACTGTGGTTTGCATTATGAAAAGGATGTCGAAGGCATTTTCAGAAGCAGGCRCCTCACAGCACATATCAGAGTGGGTGCAGGTGCCACATCAAGGGCCAGGGAATCTGTGAATCAGATAAGGCACCAAGGACAGATTAGCCCATGCAGGAATTGGGGTCTCGATGCAGTGCTCAYCTGCCCCCAGAGCCCTTGAATGTGTCCTCACCTCAGAGCTGGGTGCTGAGGACAGCCCAGCTCTGCARGAATCCAGCCCTTTTCTCCATCTACAGTCCAYTGGTCTAAATTTCAGGYAATCTGATTTGGTTTAGATCGTTTYAGGGGAGCCCAAGCTGTGTTTGAGCTTGTTGGGTCTTCTCTAAGACATAAATATGGATAAAATCGGATAATTGCTCTGGCTTCTGTCCACCCTGGGGGAAGGACTGCTTTCCCTTGGAGCCCTGGAAGTCTGAGCCTGCTGCTGGTACTCAGGAATGAGAGGAGAAAAGCCAATGTCCGAAGAGTATGGACAATGGGGTGGGAAATAGAGTGATTCTCTTCTTATGGGAGCCTTTCAGAGGGAATGCGAAGAGGCGGGGGAGGCAGCATGARCTCGGAACTCGGCCTTACCAAGACKGGAGTGGCTGAGGCTGGGCTCCGGCAGGACCCTCCTCTGTGAGCCCCCGAGGAGGGGTGGGGGAAGACGGGGGCAGGACTGTGTATGTGTGCATGCAGCAGGCACAGAAGGCAGAATCCTGCTTCCCCTTCCGAAAACAATAAAGTCAGGGCACAAGGTTTGTAGAAGAGAAGGGAGGATCCCGCAGCGAGGGGCGGCAGACGGTTCGGGCCGTGGGGTCACAGCAGAGGGACTGTCGCAGGGCGGGGACAGGGACACCGTGCGGAGGGCGCGGCGTCTCCCGGGGGCGGCGTGTCCGTGGAACGGCCCGGCGGTGTCGCTCACGGTGCCGCAGCTCCTCCCGCCGCCAGCGGGGTCCGGTCGGGACCGGGGGAACGCTGCTGGGGCTGCTCCGGTCCCTCTGGGGCTGCTCCGGTCCCTCTGGGGCTGCTCCGGTCCCCCGGTTCCTCCGCTCTCCTCCCGCAGGCTGTGCCTCCTGTGCCGGCGGTCGCTCCGCTCCGCCGCGGTCCCTGCGCTCCGCTCCCCCAGGTAATGCTCTCCGGTAGTGCTCTCCGGTAATGCTCTCCGGTAATGCTCTCCTGTAGTGCTCTCCGGT